CGGTCAGGGGCACGTACCTTGGTTGCAGGCACATCCCCAGTGGCGGGTGTGCAGGAGGCAGCTGATCGATGTTTCTCTCTCATTGATGTTTCTGACTATCCCTCTCCCTTCCTCTCTGTAAAAAAATCAATAAAATAGTTAATAAATAAATAAATAAATAAATAAAATTACCCATTATGTTTATGCACACGAACAACAGTGTGGTGATTGTGAGGGATGGGGTGGGGTGAAAACACAATACAGTGCACAGATGATGTGCTGTAGAATTGTGCACATGAAACCTGTATAATTTGGCTATACAGTGTCACTTCAATAAATTCAATTAAAAAAAATTACCCATGATGTTTAAATATACATACCCAGGTCTCAGCACTGACCTAAAGAATTAGAATCTCTGGTGGGGTGAGTGGGGAGATGGAGAAAGGGGAAAGTCAGCATCTGGGAGACTGAGGCCCAAAGGGAAACAGAGGCAGTGGTGGTCAGGGAGAATGGCAGCTGCTTTTCTGGCAGGGGCATGGGTGCCAGGTACAGCGCAGAGCTGGGCCGAGCATGCCGAGAGCCTGGGGGACCCGACGCCGGCCGGGATTACGCCTCTCTCTCTGTGTATATATATAAAAATGAGTCCCTCTGTACATGTATTTAACCGTGGGTACACGTGCGTGTGTCTGTGCGTGTGTCCGTGCGTGTGTACGTGTGGTCTGCATGTGTGTGTGTGGCGCGGGCAGAGCGAGTGCGCCCAGGAGGCAGTAGGAGCCCTGTTTGTCTCGTGACTTCGTACCTCTCAAGCCCCTCTTTGTACTACACTGAACGCTGGCACTTTGGCACTTTGGCGGAGTTGGAAACAAAGTCGGACATTAAAGATCCTTTCTCCTGTGCGGCTGTGAGTAATTTGTGATGGGGTGGGGGCTGGGGGGTGGCAGGCAGGGTCTGGTGGGTCCTTTCTTTCCCCTGCAAGTGTTTCCCAGTCCCTCCGGCCTTGCTGTGGGGAATAGTTGTGGGGGCCCCATGGAATCCATTTCTGCCTTTGCTATTACTGCCCCCTCCCCCCGCACACACACACCCCAGCTAAACAGATCTGGCCCTGTGGCTGCAAGTGACCCCTTGCACTTGTCCCATAAATCCTGCTTGTCTGCCTTTGACTCTGCAATGTAAATCCTCCTGCTGTGGGCTGCACTGGGCCATGTCTGGCCTGGCCCTGACCAATTGGACCCCAATCCTGGACAGGACCCTAGGTGGGTCTGTCACCTGGGAGGGATGGGATCCAGAGAAATGGGCTGGTTTCCTTCACCTCCTCCCGGCAGCCCTAGGCCAAACACTCCATTGTTTGCCTGTGCCCACAGAACCTGAAAAAAATCCAGACTGCAGAATTTTCTGGATAAGATATGGATCCATGTGGCCAAGCAACACACCTGGGCACAAGATCCCTCCTAAGCTCTTCTAACTGGCAGCTGCCTGGGAAAGAAACACTGAGGAAAGTCACACAGAGGTGGGTCACCTCAGAGAAGGTAACCTCCATTCTGGCATCAGGCCTATTACTGTATGACCTCCAGAAAGTCGCACCCCCTCTCGAGGTCTTGGTTCCCCACCCGTGTAATGATGGGGTTGATTCCAAGGTCTTTCCTACTTCTAAAAGCCCCCAGCTTGCTAAAAGAATAAAGGATAGGGAGCATTTTTCTTACCTGCAATTCAAAAAAAAAAGCATGAGGAATATCCATTCCCACCTCAATCCCTTTTTCTCACTGCTTTCCTTTTTCTAAGTTGAGCCTCACGATTTTTTCAAATGGCAAGGGCCTCTTACAATAATAGTAAATCTATCTGGGGGTCTCAATCTATCTTGTATTCTATAGGCGACTGAAGTAGAAAATGCTTTCAGAGAGGAGAGACAGTTGTTCATATAGCTGAAAGAAAGTGAGGGGTATCAGGCATGGCTGGATCTAGGGGCTTAAACAAAACTTATGGGCTCTTACTCTTTTATCTAGCTCTGCTTATCTTTATATGTTGCCCTTGTTTCCTTTCTGCAAATAGCTTTCTCATATCATTCTTACTACTTGAACACCCCTCCCCCCAAAAAAGAAGATTTCCCAGCAGTTCTGCCAAAAAAAAAGAAAAAGAAAAAAGTCCTGGGAAGCTAGAGGTTCTTTATCACAGTCTGCTTTAAGACTCTGATGAAAACTATAGATATACTTACAGAAAAATTCACATACAAAAAAAATTTACATTTTCATGTCATTTCAGGTGACTCGCCCCTGTTTAAGATCTGATTAACTAAGCCTGATAGCCCAGATCCCCAGGTTATTTAAGCTAAACTGGATTTTCAGAATTATGTAGGCCAAGCCCTCATCTCTACAGAGGGGGAGACTAAGATGAATAATGTGACCACATCACACTAAACTGGACCCAGTTCCTTTTACAGTCCCACGTGTTGCCATCTTGGAGTTGAGTGCATCATCCAACAGGAAGCAGGTCTCTTCTTGCCCCTGTAGAGAAAGAGGAGCCTGAATCCAGTTCCCAGGGAAGAAGAAGTTTGGGGAATCCTCTGAAAATACTTCGTTAGCAACACAAATGTTTCAAACCAGCCTTATACAGAATCCTGATGTAGGTGTGGCCCAGAGTGAAGTGGGCCACTTCTTTGTCCACCTCCTCCTCAGTCCTTGCCTCTGCCCCCCCGCCCCAAGCACCCTAGAACTCCACACAGTGCGGTTTGAAAACTACTGGTCCAGTGCAAGAGAATACGACTGGGAATCAGTGGGGCCTGGGTTCAAGTTGGCACTCTTTGTGACCTTGAGCACTCACCTTGCCTTTTCTGGTCCGTTTCCCCATCCGTCAAATGGATATGACCATCACAGTCCACCAGGACGCCAAAAGGAGTCAATGAGATCATTGTGGCATAAACAATGAGCTGTAAATCACTGGGCAGATGCAAGTTATAATTTGGACCTCAGATATCTGAAGCCACAGGCACCAAAGGCATTTCCTGAGCCACTCAGTTCTGATGACCTCACACATTACTGGTATTTGGAGGCCACACAGGCAGCAGAGGGAGGCAGTGGCAGCCTCCTGCCTCTTTCCAGAAGGGAGGTTTACCAGGCCGTGACTTGCATCCCCCAAAAATGCTGTGTTCCAAATCTACCCCCAGCCAGGCCCTGCATTACGCTGACCTCTCCAGGTCATCTCCCTGTGGTCAGGCCCAGGAGGGCCCACAGTTCAAGAGCCCTTGGGGCAAACAGGTCCTCTCTACTCTAGTTGGCAGCAAAGCAGCCCTACTTTATTCTCCCAGGCCACCCAAGCACTGCTGAGTCATTTGTTGTCACTGAGGCACAAGGACACATCTGCCAATCAAAGAGGTAAGTGGTTTGGGAAGGTGTGATAACTGTTAATCCTCCAGATCTGGGCTCAAATCCCACCTCTGCCATGTAGTAGCTGTGTGACCTCGGGCACCTCGTGACCTGGGTCTAAATCTTAGCTTCCTTAACTAATAAATAAGGATAATAATGGTACCCACTTCATAGGGACATTTGGAGGGTCCAATAAAATCATGAGGGTAAAACACCATGCCAGTCACTTGGATAACATCCGACAAACAGTAGCTATTAGCAGATATATTAAGTATTCAATTATTTACTTTGATATCAAAAGTTTAGAAAATCTGAATAAAAAGACAAAGAAAATAAATTCGGTTGGTTGTTTTTTTTTAAATCAAATTCCAGTGCTTTAGGACTCAGGGTCTACCTTGAAGAAAAAAGACACAAGCTTATGACAGTACAAGAATTTTGTGTCCTACAGTGTGAAGAAACGTATTACTCAAAGAGGTGATCGACCTAAACTAAGGGTAAACATGAAATTTAGTAAAAGTTATGAGTTTGTTATTCCATAACAGATTACTAGAAACAAAGGGAAGACTGAAGATTTCTACTTGGTCTGCCCCTGGAATTCACTTTCATAACCGTTGCCCTAGTACCTAACTGATACCAGCAAGTGTTCGTTCTCTCTCGACAGAGCTGGTGAAATGCGGGGCAAGGTTTGAGGTCTGGCACCTACTGGCCTTGAATTGCAAAGTAGACAGAGAGGATGATAGAAAAAACGTAGAAAATTGGGCCAGGAAGGATATGCTTTGTGGTTTCATTGTTTTCCCCCAGCTTTACTGAGGTATCATTGATAAATAAAAATTGTACTAGTATATATTTAAGGTTACAATGTGATGTTTTGATATACATATACTTGTGAAATGGGACTACCACACTCAAACCAATGAACATACCCATCACCTCACATAGTTACCTTTTTTTGTGGTGAGAATGTTTAAGATCTACTCCCTTAGCAAATTTCAAGTTTGCCATCCAGTGCTGTTAACCATCGTCACCATGCTGTGTGTTCGGTCTCCAGAAGCTATTTGTCCCACATGATGGAAACTTTGTACCTTTGACAGCACTTCCCTTTTTCCCCTCCCCCAGCCCCTTGCACCCACCATTCTACTCTCTGCTTCTATGAGTCAGTGTTTTTAGATTCCACATGTAAGTGGGGTCATGCAGTATTTGTCTTTCTATGTCTGGCTTATTTTACTTGGTATAATAAAACCTCCAGGTTCATCCACATTGTTACAAATGGCAGGATTTCCTTTTTTTAAGCCTAAAAATATTTTAAATTAGGACAGGCAGCTTTCTGTTGCTCAACCTTGAGGACCTCCGAAGTTTGTTTAGTGTTATATTTGTTTGCTAGGGCTGCCATAACGAAGTGCCACAGACTGATGGCTTAAACAACGGTAATTTGTTATTTCACAGCTGAGGCTGCAAGTCCCAGATCAAGGTGTTGGCAGAGTTGATTTCTTCTGAGGCCTCTTTCCTTGGCTGATAGATGGACGTCTTCAGCGGGTGACTTCATAATCTTTCCTGTGTGTGTGTCTGTGTCCAGATGTCCTCTTCTTATGAGGACAGTAATCATACTGGATTAGGGCCCACCCTGATGACCTCATTTTACACTATTTACCTCCTTAAACACCCTGGCTCCAAATACAATCACATTCTGAAGTACTGGGGGTCTAGGACTCCAACATATGAATTGGGGGGGGGGGGGGTGGGGGGGACACAAATCAGCCCATAACAAGGATCAATATCTCAGAACCTTGGGACTAAAGTCTTAATGTTAGGGCACATCAATGAGGTGGGCATTAGTATTGTCTCATTTTTAAGCTTAGAAAAGTTTAAGTAATAGTCCAAGATGGTATGACTTCCAGGTGGAAGAGACAAGGATTTGAATCAAAGGGCCGATCGACCTTGCTCTGCACACTCCTAGCCTGGATAAATCTCTGTATGGAAGGAA